TGAGTCGAGGACTCAGTTTTATGGCTCCAACCTAATTTATTCCCAACTGCTTCTAAAATTATACCAGTTTTAATAAGGTAGAGATTGAATAAGGTAGAGATTGCTACAATTATTTTTATAACTTATTTTAAGGTAGATTAATATTTTTAATAGTTTCATTTTTCTTTTAATATGATAAACTTGAACACCTATAAACAGTGAAATAAAATTTGAAAATTCCAATTTTTAAGCTTTGTGATCTGTGACAATATGTACACCTGCAAGACAGTCTGTTTTATCACTGAAAAAGGATGTATTTTTCTTCTTGTTGCAAGTTCCAGGTTTCTTTGATCATTTCTTTCCTGTGAACTTTAGGTTCCTCCAAACACATTCTTCATTTTCATTAGGAAATTTCATTTGGGGGTGGAAGAAGGACATTCTTTCTTCTAATATTTTCTAAAGAAATAATCTTTTGGGTAATCAAAAGCCTTTTCAGCTTCAAGAGTGGAATTAACATGAGCAATTTGTATGATTTACAGCCATCATAAACTGAAAATTTTTCTGAGATTATCTGTTAAAAGTCCTTTCATGACAAATCACTTTGATCATGGAGAGATAAGTCATCCCATTAGGTTATTACAGTCTCTTTGGTAACGTCAAGATAAACAATTTCACTTTTTGGTTTGGGTGTGATACAGGTCAATGAGACTCCATTCCTGTTGGTGTTTCCTTGGGTTTGGGCAAAACTGTGCAGCATGCCTTGGACTTGAGTTAGGGCTTTTCCAGTCAACAGAATTGTCATTGTTCTATGCAACTAATGAATCATTGAACACTACGCAAAAAACTAATGATGTACTACATACTGGCTAACTGAATTTAAATTTTGAAAAATGGGAAAAAATTGTCATTGGCCAGTGAAAGTTTGTTAAACGCCCCTTATAATTTCTACCTAAGATACTATAGTAAAACTATTTATCTATTACAGATGGTCCCTCGATGCGTTTTTAAAATTTTCAATGCTTTTTTTTTTTAAGATTTTGTTTGTTTATTTGACACAGAGAGAGATCACAAGTAGGCAGAGAAGCAGGCAGAGAGAGAGGGGGAAGCAGGTTCCCTGCTGAGCAGAGAGCCCGATGAGGGGCTCGATCCCAGGACCCTGATATCATGACCTGAGCCAAAGGCAGAGGCTTAACCCACTTGGCCACCCAGGTGCCCTTTAATGCATTCTTGATTTCCCTTTTCTGTGGCAGCAGCATTCGGAAACCACGTGTGAGGTTGTGTCTGCAGCAACTTATTCTGTTGACCAGTTACTCCCTCTTAAAATTCTCCCATTATTTCTCAGACGGAGAATTCCTCTCTATCCCCTGCTTGAAAACTGCGTCTCCATCTCCTCGGCTCCTCTGCCTTCCACAGTTAAAGGAAGGTACCCCTGCAGAACGCACAGTGGCTGTTTCCTCCTGTGTGTCCATGCCTCCTCCTTGGGGTCCTCCTCACTCTAACCGAGTCCCAAACTTCCATTCCAGCCCCAAGCTCTTGACTTGTATGTTCTGCTTGTAAAAGAAAAACCGAAGTAGACATTACGGAAAAACAGCGCTCTGCTGGTCTGCCTTGCCCTTATTTTTATGGCTTTGTGTTTCTTTTAATTATATGGGAGTGCTGCAATGTTTTCAGTATTTAGGGCTTTAAGTTGCTTCATGCAGATGTGATTGGGCCACTATGGAATCCTGCGCTCCAGCCTCTGCCAGGACTCCTGGGCCCGCGTAACCTTTCCATGCGTGCTTGCTGGTCCTACTTGCTGGTCCTCCTCTCCTGCTCTTCCCAGGGTTTCTCATCCTCCAGGTGACTGATGCATTGCTTATTCTGCTGTTCAAATGGAACCTGTTCTTTTGGCCTTTCTTTTTTTTTAGATTTTATTTATTTGAGAGGGAAAGAGAGAGAGGGTGCACGAGCAGGAGAGGGAGGGGCAGAAAGAGAGGGAGAAGTGGATTCCCCAGTGAGCAGGGAGTCTGATACAGGGCTCGATCCCAGAACCTGAGATCATGACCTGAGTCAAAGGCAGATGCTTGGGGTGCCTGGGTGGCTCCGTGGGTTAAGCCTCTGCCTTCAGCTCAGGTCAGGATCCCAGGGTCCTGGGATCGAACCCCGCATTGGGCTCTCTGCTCAGCAGGAAGCCTGCTTCCCTCTCTCTGTCTGCCTACTTGTGATGTCTGTCTGTCAAATAAATAAATAAAATCTTAAAAAAAAAAAAAGCAGATGCTCAACTGACTGAGCCACCCAGGAGCTGCCTGTTTGTGTGTCTTTTAGACAGGGGTACTGCTGACATGTTTCAACAGCAACAGACTGCTTGACTGACTGCCTTTCAACTGTTGTTCTAACTCTCCTGGAGAGAAATATTCCATCCTCCTTATCCTTGTGGATATTTCCATTGAGAGCCACACATTTTATTCACAAATATGCTGGAGCTCTGGTGTCAAATGTTTATGACTGGCCACCAGTGGGCTGTCTCTAAGAGAGTTCTGGTTTTCCAGAAAGGGAGACTGGCACCTCTGGGAACATGAAAAGGGAGAGGCGAGTGGTAAGGGAGTGACGGCAAATAACAGTGCACATTCCCTATTTGAGGGAGGAAGGCTCTGGTACAGATAGAAAAGAACAAAATGGAAATCATAGTGGGGCTATTAGCCTCCAGACAGAAAGTGATACCCACCACTGAAAGAACAGAAGGAAAAAAGACAGCTCTGTGGAATGAAGAGGTCAGGAGAGGAGATGTCGAAAGGAATACCAAACAGCCCCGCTGAACTGAGGCCGTGTGGTGGTGTGTTTGACCAAATCTATGAGATTCTGGTATTTGTCCAGCTATTTCAGACCAAGGCTTCAAAGAGAGGGAATGGAGGCAGTTTTCCCTGGGGAGGCAAACCTAGGTCAGCCACGAAGTCACAGGACCACACACATCTTGTCTTTCTCTCTCCCTTATGTAAAGTTGATTGCATCAAGATCGGCACAGACAGGGTCTCTTCACTTCCCGAGCTCCTCCCGCCTCTGCAGCCAGGAGCCTATGAGCATCCCCTGGGGCCCGGTGCAGCTCTGAGCTTACGCACTCCTGCGCATCTGTGCTCTGGGCCCAGGTGCCACTGTCCTTGGGAATAGACTAGAGGTTTCCGCGGGCCCCTGGGCGCCTTCTAGACCCAGTGTAGGATCTCCAGTAATGAACTAAGAGCCTGACTTCCGTTCAGAGAACAGCTTAAGCACTGGACAGAACAGAACCTAGTGTATGTGAACTTGTGGTGATGAAACAACTCCGGACATCACCCCAAAATCCTTCCTGCAAATCGCCTTCGGCGTCCGCTCATAGTCTGAGTGGGGTGAGCAACGCAGCTGACTCAGGGCGCGCTCACAGCTGTGGTTTGAAAGACTCGGAATGTTTCATGACTCACATTGTCACTCTGCTTCCTTTCCTGTGGCACAAAGGGGCTGGGAGGCCCCCGGGCAGCAATTAAAGGTGTGGGGAAGGGTCCTTCCTTTTCCTTAGGAAAAGTGATTGTCGCCATTACAGAGTGTTGAGCTTGGCCCCCAGAAAGATATGTTTGAGTTCTAATCTCCGGTACCTGAGAAGGTGATCTGATTTGGAAAGAGGGTGTTTGCAGATATAATCAAGCGACGATGAGGTCATGCTGGCCTAAGGTGGGTCCTGATCCAGTCCAACATGTGTCCTTATGAGAAGAGGTGCACACAGAGAGGAGGGCGCCATGTAAGGACCGAGACACGCCAGGCACATCCCTGTCACAGCGGAGCAGAGATTGGAGTGACACGTCCACAAGCCAAGCAACTCCAAGGATTGCTGGGAACACGAGAAGGTAAGAGAAAAGCACAGAACAGATTCTCTCCCAGAGACTTGAGAAAGGGCATGGTGCTGTCAACACCTTGATTTCAGGCTTTCGGCCTTTAGGACTATGAGAAAATAAGTTTCTATTGCTTTAAGTCACCCTGTTTGTGGTAATTTGTTACAGCAGCCACAGCAAATGAGAGCCGCCCTTGAGCTGGGGTCACAGATGCCTGCCGCTGTCCCCACCCACCCACCCACAGCTGTCACACCCAGATCACCCACACAGACCCCAAAACATCTACTCCCCATAGGTGGGGGAGCGTAGGGTGGGCGGTGAGCCCTACACGCGCTCCTGCACACTGCCATACCGCCAGGGATGTGGAAGCTCTGGCTCAGTGTTCCGCCCCCATAACCTCCTCCCGACTCTTTCCAGCCACTTCTAGAAGAATGGATCCATCTGGCATCCCCTGGGGCCATTCCCCAGTCCTGCTGAGATCAGGCTCAGTACCTGCAATCACGGGACACTGGCCTCTAGCTCCCAACACAGAGCTCAACCCACGGAGCCAAAGCTCTTAGCAACGCAGTGTTTGTGGGAGCTGACGTTTGCCACTGCCCCTTACCAGTCGTGCACAGGGCCTCTCAGTCGGTCCCAAGGGCAGCCTCACTCTCGGGTCAGGCTCTCCAGCGTCTACCTTCCTCCCTCGCCTGACCCCCACCCTCCGCCAAGGCCCCAGCACCCCTTTGAGTTTGCCTGTCTGAGGCAGCAGGCCTGAGGCCCTTGGACTTTGTTACACAATGTCCTCAACAAAAACGCCAGCTTACCCTCGAATGAAGACTTGGAGCCCAAACCTAAATACCAATGGATAAGTGCTCGCCACACAGTGACACGGTAGAAGAAAGGAAAACTTATTTATGCATACATATCCGACACCCCGAGAACAATGCCGCAGAGTCTGGGAAGGCAGTTTGTGGCCTCAGGTGCCTGGCGTCCGCTTGCCTGGGCTCTGCCAGGCTACCCTGAGCCCGAGGGGCCCAGTTACCCCACACACCACAGCCCATCCAGGGTGGGGAGCTCCACCCTGAGGTGAGCATGGTGCCATCTTTGGACCTGTGAGACACGGGAAGGGATGGTGACTGGTATGTGCAGAGGACACCTTCCCTTCCCATAATAGGACCTAACAGGTTAATCCCCCAGGCTCACCTGCACTGCCCGTGGTCCCTGTCGCACTCTGGGGTGGTGACCCCAACTGTGCCTCTCCTGGAACAGTTGCAACCTTCACAGCCAGCCAGGGGGTGGAAGCTGAAGGAATGCATGTCACACGCCTCACACTGGGGCCTGACGGTGCGGGGAGGGCAGAGGCACTTCCCTGTCATCTCTTCACAGAGGCGTGGGCCACACTTGCAAGCTGGCCAGAGAACAAAGAGACACGGCGTAAGGGAGAGATGCCACCTGGCCTCTAGCAGATTTCACCCACTGCCAGCATTTCCAGAAGTTTCCAAGGGGCCTGGGAGAAACGTCTTGCTTTTTCTTCATTATGGCATTAGTGAGCGCAGCTGACCTGAAAGGTATCTTTCTCGGGGCCCGGACCAACTATAGCAAATGCTCACAGCACTCATAGTGTGGGAACGTTGACTGATGCCGCAGCTGGACCCACTGGCACCAAGACAGGAGCTTCAAGGAACTCACCCAGCCATAGTTACACGCCATTCTAATGAGACACCTCTCATCTGTCGGGGGGCCTCTCCATACGGGCTCCCTGAAGGGGCTCCATGTCACCTTAGCGTGACAGAGCTCTAGGTCAGGGCATAAAGCAGCAGCAGGATCCTCGTTAGGCAAGGGCTGGTCTCCAGGTGAAGACTGTTTGTACCACACACACACGTACCCCTTGCTGCCACCCCACGGCATGTACTGACTCTGTGTCTCAGGCTACAGGATGGGTCTTCGATAAAAGTCCCCAGGCTTCCCATTCAGAAAGCATGAGGTGCCTGTGACCTTGGCTCTCCTCTTATTTCAACTGAGTTTTGGTTAGGCTGCAAAAATTGAAGAGGCTTCCCCGAGGAAGAGGGATGGAGCTAATAGTTCGATGATTAAGGTTCTTTAAACTCATCTGTTTTGCCAAGCACTTGAGTCACATAGCATGGGAAACACAAATGTTTATCTTCTAGAACCTACCTACTCAGACTGTACGCCATGGACCCCTGGCATGGGCATCACCTGACTGCTTAAGCGAAATGCAGACTCTGAGGCCCCCACCAAGCACTCTTGAGTCAGAACCTGCATTTTCACAAGATCCCCAGGTGAGTGTCCAGCAGAGTGAAATTCAAGAAGGCCCTCGCTAGATGAGCGGCAGCCACCTGGGACCAGAGACAAACTTCGATGCCCCCGACGTGCACTTACGTTTGCAATGTGGGAATCCATAGTAGCCCGTTCGACAGCGGGTACACTGCCGCCCAATGACATTGGGCCGGCATGGGCACTGCCCACCCTCTGGGCTGCAGTGATGGCCAATGGCCCCGGTGGGGTGGCACTCACAAGGCAGTGCTCCCTTGTGGTAGAGGGCCACCAGGGACCTGGAGGAGTTCTTACAGAATCCAGAGGCTGTCTGGGGGCTGTGAAGACAAAAACAGCTCATGGCATTATCCCGGGAGGCGATAAATCCCAACCTTCTCCTTCCCACTTGCTCTGCCAACTGGTGTTTTGGGGGAGGGGCTCTGGCTGTGAAGTCTGGGAAGAAATGAGAGACTACCCTACGCCTGTATTCACAACCAGTGACAGCCAGCCTTCCTTCTACCCATCCACTCCAGAACACATCCCAGGACCGGTGGGTGGGAACTTTTGGTGGCTGAAATAAAAGGGTGAAAATTCACCGATAGGATGAATTCTATGGTATGTGAATTATATCTCAATAAAGCGGTTACAAAAAAATTATACCTAGAGGTGTATGCACCAATAATAATAACAATGGGAGGAGGGAGTGGCAAAGTGTCTACTTTTATTGAATGTTGTTGTGCTAGAAGTTTTGCCTACATCTCACTTAACCTCACAACCACCCAACAAGTTAGGCCTAAGCCTCCTCTCATAGATAAGGCTTCTAGAAGTTAAGTGACATATCCAAGGCTTCAGAGCTACCGAGTGGCCAAGCAGACATTCAAACCCATAGCTGTTGGACTTCAGATCCTTTACTCTTAATATTTTCTATACAGGAGACTTCTGCCCCCCGTGTCCCCTGGAGCTCCTGGGTCCCTCGGGAAACCTGCAAGAGGGCAGGGTGGGTCTCCAGAAGAGAAGAGCAGGAGCCCATACTCAGGACTGTCCTTAGCTCTTGGCATTCAAGGATCCAGGGAGAGAAGACAGGGAGATCCGCCTCTCTGTGATATTCTCCACTCAATCAGATGGCAAAGGAGAGGGAGAATCCAGGCTGATGTGCTTCCTGGTGGAGGGCACCCCACATGAGACCTTTTAGGAAGCTGAGTTGGACAACAGGATGCAGCAAAGAGGCCAAGAAACACCTAGGCAACCCATGAATCCCAGCTCGGAGGGTGAACATCTGGCGGGATCGAAGCTGAGAAAAGTAATCTTGCCCAAATGGGCAGCACAAGGTCTGGGGTAGGATGGTGTATGCAGAGGAAAAGCATCTCCCTCCCCAGACTCAGAATGCATTGCCACCCCCGTGGGTGGGCCCCAGGAGGAAGAAGACAGACCTGGGGCTCAGCCCCACCTTGGGTCTCGCTCTGAGTGTGAATGTGGGAGAGCCTGAGGAAGCTCCACAAAGTGATACTTACTCAATATAAAAACTGTTTCTTCCACAACTGTTGATAAACTCAAATGACTTGTCCACTGATTTTTTGTGAAGTATTTGGTAGTCGTAATCCTCGGCAGGCACCACTAGAACACGGACCTAAAGGAAACCTGTCAGCATGGCTTTGGATTTCCAACAGCAGGGCACACCTATGGCTATTCATTGTACTTTCTCTTCCCTATGAGCAGTGTTCTCTGTTGTGAAGCCCAAGACCACACGAAACAGGTCTTATGAGAAAAGAATCCCAAGAACTCCCCTAAGCCAGTGTTAAAGGTTCAACCGACGTTCCTCTGTTAGAAATGGCGTGTGCTGGGCCAGACCTCTTGGAGCACCTGCTCAGAGAAGCTGCAGCCTCAAGCGCTCAGTGGGGACAGGACATCTAAGGGGTAATCAGGGGCCTGTTAGGAGGGCCAGGGCCCCATGTGATCTATGCCTGGGGTGACCCTGGATCACCACAGGTCACATTTTGTATTTTTAAAGGTGAACAAACCAAAATGGTGGGACCAATGGGGTCATGGCTTGCCTTGAAGCTTACATCCTGTCAGATACTCTGTTATGAATAACTGCATCCCTAGTCTTTAAAAGTACTGCTCAGCTCTCTGTGCCTGTTTCAATCAGACTCTTCCAGTAACAAATGCTATAGGAAATTTCAAATGTCTTTGTCAATGAGTCACCAACATACAGCTTACAGAGAGCTCACTGCTGTCATGTTATTCAATCAGTAAGCATTTGCCAAGCACAGTGTGCCAGGTAGTATCCTAGGCACAAGGGATACAAAACACATAAAGGCAGGCCCCTGTCCCTAGGAAGATGGCCGCCTCGGAGAGAGAATGAAGCTTAAGCAAGAGACTAGAGGGTCACACAGCAGGGCTTGGACAATGCTACCTGTTTCCCTGACAGGCTTTACTGGCATCGAGTGACCATGATTCCATCAATCAAGGTAACAAACAGGGTAGGGCATACCTTGTGTAGGTAATGGGCTTATGTTTGAGGGTCTCATGAGGGCCCCAGCTGGGCAGATATGCATTAGATGGTCCCATAGTGGTTCCAGAGCTCAGAAAATATCAGAGATGAATTCAGAAATGTGGTGTCATTCCCACCACAAGAGAGAACAGAACCAGTGGGTACAGAGGATGTTATCCAAAGAGAAATGACAGAACAAGGGGGCTCAGGGTCACACCTGAGGGAGCGCCACCATATGTGGACAAAAGGAAAAAGAAATCAGTGAAGAAGCACTAGAGAAAGGGGGAACAGAATGAGAGAAAGCAGCTACGGAAGCCCAAAAAGGAAAGTTTCAAGAGCAAAGGAAGAGTAAATGCTTTAGAAAGAGACCAGTCAGGTGAGGAGTGAGGAGGGGCTGAAGCAGAGCGAGACCCTTGTTCACCAGAGCTTCCTGCCGGGGAGTTTCTCCTTCCTATTCACTTACCCATTATTCCAATTTCCCTTGACCTTAATTGTCACCTGCTTTTTTTTTTTTTTTTTTTCAAAAGGTAGCTATGAAATTTAAACATTTTTCTATAAGACTTCAAGTCCTTGGAAGAATTATTGTCATGAGCCAAACAGGCACCCAGAACAGCTGACCAAAGCAAGCACATGAAGAGCAAGCTGACGGAGAAGCAGAACGTACCAATACTAGGGACTTTCCTTCTGGAACCTTCACAGTCACAGCCACCTCTGGCTTGGAGATGTCCAACTCAACTTGATCTTTAGCAATGACTTGGTCCCGGCAGCCAAGCACATGGGGGCAAAAAGAGGCACGGAAGACACCTGCAGGCAGAGCCAGACAGGAGCTCCTGTCATGGTCCTGTGAGGCCCAGCCCGGCTCACAGCTATGGCCCCTGCTCTCTGACACTCACCAGGCCACAGCCGCCCTCCATCCACAAAGACTTGTGTGGGAAATGCTGGGTGTGCTGGTTGATAAAAATGGATGACAATGACATATCGGCCTAGTCGTGGTACAAGTCCTCGCAGGGTCACTTGATTCTGGGTAGAAAAAAAGAGGATAAGGAAAACTTCTCAAGTTGCAGAGCTATGAACATTTAGAGTTTGAAAACAAAAACCCTCTAGATATTTCCCCAAGTGAAATGAACACCTATGGTCACATAAAACTTTCCCTTGAATGTTTACAGTGGCACTCTTGTAATCAGAAATACTGGAAACAAACCAAATGACCCGCAGCTCAGAATGGATAAACCAACAGTGTGGTCCGCCGTTAATGATGCTGGAGGGAGTGTAATTTGGTACAATCATTTCGGTAAACTGTCTGGCGGCTTTTACCAAAGTCAGACATGTCACTGAGCAATTGCACTCTTAGGTACATGCCCAACAGAAATGCATAACGTTTGCCAAAAGCTGTTCCAGAGTGTTCCCAGCACTTATATATCACTTGGAATAACCAAGAGAGAAAGAGTCAGACTCCATTTTGGATGTTTGACTGACAGGTGTCAAGCCCCATCGCTCGTCTTTAATCTTCTGCCCCACACCTGCACAAGCCAGTAAGAAGGCCCTGGAGCCCATCCCTTGGCACAGGGAGGAAGTTCAAGACACACTAATTCTAGCCCATGGGAAGGGGGTCCTCATCTTGCCCTCCTCCACCTTCCTTCACCCCTGCCCAACCACAGTGAAAATCAGATTTGTGCCCCCACTTTAGCTCAAGCTTGAGTGTGAGCCCTGCTCTCTCCAGAAAACTTCACTGTGAGATATGTCTTTTCAAATGCTCAAAAAAAAAAAAAAAAAAGAAAGAAAGAAAAAGAAAAGGAAAAAGAAATACAGCAGCAATAAAAGATTATCCTCATCTTTCTGACGAGAACCGTGACTTGAAGAAGGCAAGTAATATGAGAAAGGCCATGCTCTAATTTAAGAGCAAAGCCAGAACTAGAACTCCTTTGTCATGATTTCAATTCATCTCCTCCTATGAATCTGGGTGGACTTCCCCACACAGGCTCTTATTAAATTTTCTCTCTCAGATCCTGTTAATTTTCTAACTTGATGCAGTGGGAATGGACATGAGCCATCCTCTAGGACTGAAAGGACACCATATCATCAGGACAAATGCTAAGTCCTGCAAGTTCATAGTTTACAGTGAAAAAAATTCAGTCAGTCCCTTACTACATTTCTTATTCATGCTATCGATTATTAGTTAATAAATATTTATTGAGAATTTCCTGCCTCCAAAGCATTTTGCTGATATAGTTGGGGACGCAAAACATCTATTAGCCAGAGCAGCTTTCGCAAGTGCTTACATGTCACCTTGGGAAGACAAGTGATCATCTCAACAATGTTACACAGCAGTAGCCCATGAAAGTATGACCTATCACAAAACGGGCCACAGAAAGTTGGCAAATGACTGTGTAGATGGAGATACAGAAAGAAAAGAGAACATCAGGATGGGGCGGTCATAGACAGGAATAGCCAGATGCCTCACATCTGGGATTCTCCATAGTTGAGAGCAGAGGTCCCCAAACTTCAGGGGCATCCAAATCCCTTGGAGGGTTTATTAAAACTTAGACTCCTGGGCCCCGCCAGTTTTGGGGTGGGCTTGTAAATATCTAACAAGTTCCCAGATGATGTGGATGCTTCTGGTAAGGGCCACGATTTGAGAACCATAATTTAGAAACAACACACTTGAGGGGAGCCCCACCTGTGGCGCCTTCAAGATGACTCCAGTAACATCAGCAGAAGGCAGAGGATCCTGGGGCAGGAAAGGGGAAGACTCACCCCTTGGGACATCCAAAATCAAGGCTGTTGGAGGAGTTTCAGGGACCAGAGAGACACAAGAGGCACTGAAATTAAAAAAAAAGAAAAAAAGAAAAAGAATATTAAAAAACAACCAAAAATGGAAGAACTGTCCATTGGTGAAAATAGCAACTGTGAGCACAAGACTATGTAACATCGACAGGACCTAATCTCGGGAGAACCACAGGACTGTGGAGGGATCTTTATACAAAGACACTCAGTGTAGTCAACTGCCAAGTGTATTCCGGCAAACCCACTCAATGCAATGAGCCAAAGCAGAAAGAAAATCTTAATTTTGATGGAAACCAGACAGAAACTTACAGCAACCTTCCCTTCTAAGAACTATAATTCATGTTAAATGGGGTCAATGCCATGAAACATTATTATTCATTTCTAAACATAAATGTCGCCATAAAATCATATAAAAACAAAGAAGGCAAGTGCACATCATTTCCCTTAGGCACAGATTTCTTTTAGGCCAGATGTCACTGTCTTGGTGGCTTCTATAGCCTTATTAACCTTATGCCTAAGATTTTACGACTGTGTCTACAAATTATTTTTGAATCTACAATAAAAAAACCCTCCTGAAACCCCAATAATCACTCGTCAGCTAATCCTCATAACACAGCGGTGAGATGGGTCATTATTTCCATGGTTTTTTAAATGAGAAGTCTCAGACACTGCAATTTAAGGATTAGAACAAGGTGAGTCTTTGCGGGGTTTCAGAAGAGCCCGCAGCAGCTTCTCTTGAGGGCAAAGCTTACCCATTCTGCCCAGTGGCTACAGCGTCAGCTTCCTGACATTAATGGAATCCTGGAAAGACGGCTGGGGCCAGTGATTTAGCTTATTTTTTATTTTAACCTATCATCAGCCTTTAGTACCTTGGCCTATGATCCCTTCTGAAGTTAAGCATAAAGTCACAGCCTTACAAGCATTGTAGTACCACTCAGAGCACAAACAAGGGAGAAAGGAAAGGAAACCCATTACCTTTGATTAACATAACCCCCGTAACTGGCAATGCATTTGACTTGAGGTCTCAAATATTCAATAGAGAATTCTTCAATGGGTATGATACAAATTTGATGCTGTTGAGCAAATACAGTGCAAAAAGGTAACATCACGGTTATCAGCAAAGTCAACGGTAACAGTCAAACATATTCTTTAAAAAGCTGTTAAGTAAAGAAATTACAATTGTTATTTTAAAGTAGAAAAAAACTGCAGAATGGCACTCTCTACGGCATCATTATGTGCAACAACCCTTTTTAGCATTACACAGGATCGCTGCCCGAATGTTCTTGGGATAGTCACATGAACAAATGAAATTATGACATTCAAAAACAACTCTTTGTGACTTCAGGTGCCTGTTTTCCTTTCCTGCCCGGGGCTGATGCTGGCTCTTTAGACCCATTGGCAGGGAGAGGCGGGATGTGGCAGGCAGCTAGGGAGCCTGCTGTTCAGAGCCTGTTGTCTGTAACTCCTGCTATAAACAATCTTTCTGAATAGAGGATGACCTGATTCTCGGGCACATCTGGACTTCATTAAAGGAAGTGTCTCCAGAACTAGTTTTTGAGTCACATAAGAGACTCAGTTATCAACTTACCAATACATTGTATTTTAATCCAAACTGTATTATCAGCTTGACCACAAACCTATTCAATAACAACAAAACTTTTTATTGAACACCTACTATAGGCCAGGCACTGAGACTAAGGGATCCTAGAAGACCAGGATGGCGAATACCCCTGCTCTTATGGAGCTTATATCCTAGTTAGACGTCCGAATGACATCAGACTATTTCAATAAGGGCAAACTTATGCTTAAAAGATGAAGACTCAGCCCTGTTATAATTCCCAAAGATGAAGAGGTTAGATTTGCTCAGATTGTTATGTTTAAAAAGATAGTCACAATTTTAAAAAGAAAGCCTTAAGCTATTATACAATTTATGTAATAACTTCTAAAAACTCAATTCCAGATAATTCTGAAGAGAAGGCTCAAATTTTTTAATATTGTCCAGCATGAATATTTTAAACACATTAGAACATGCTGGCCTAGCATTTCCCAGAGTGTCATACGTGCTTAATATTAGCAGTGACAGGAAGTTGCTTTATACTTAGATAATTTTCTGTTCTCTGAGGCATTTATTAGAAATCTGGCCATCCTTTCCTAGCCCAGTCCCACTGCCTGTGTTTACCATAATTCTCAATATTTAAGTTGTGCTATTAAAAGGGAGACATGAAGGTATCTTACCTGTCAAACTTGGTATTTTTAACTCTTAATTGTATATATGTAATTAACTGAATAATATGTTTTTTTGAGATAGAGTAACAATAATCTGGAAAGGAAATACCAGGTGGTTGCAACATTGAAAATTCTGAAGGAATTTGCCAAGAAACTAATAGACGATTAAATAGTAAAATGGGCAAGAAAATAAACAGTAACTAATGGTATTTCTATACACCAGCATAAAAACAAACTAGGAACTATAATGACAAAAGAGATTTCATTCATAATAGTAACAATGAATAAACATTCATGAAATAGAGTTTTGTGAGCTGTGTTCAAACTTGACGAGCAAACTTTACCCGTGCTATAGAAAAAGGCTCAAATGAAGAGGCAAGAGAGAGTTCTAGATGCGAATAAAACACAACATAAAACTAGCAACTCTTAACATATTCACTTTGTAGGTGGAATACAAACGCCACCAAAACTTCTTTAAGTTTTAAAATATAGAGATATCACCAAAACACTTCTAAAATTCAAAGGGCAAAACAGATGCATACCAGAAGGAATCGAGCCCTGCGTGCTCTGAGCCGAATGCCCACATCTGTCAACAGCTCATAGACGGCGAGGCGACTCCTGCCATCAGTTACAACACTCCGGCAGAGGACACTGTGAGAGGAAAGAGTGTTCTTAGCCTGACTCCTCTGGTCTCCCTGACCTCGTGCCTCCCTACGGGGTTGCTGATGGCTCTTCTGTTTCTCCTGTTTATAACTAGGTCACTGACAGTGAATTTTCTGGCACAATGCATTCTAGAGAGATGCAGTGCATAATCAATACAAGAAAAAGAACCTTCTGACCGTGGCTCATCTCAGGGCTAAAGGCCTTGCTCACTTTTTCCACCCAGCTTTATGTAATACTTGGTCTAGTCATTGGGAGAAAAAGCCCCAGGGTCAATAATGTCTGATCTTGGGTGCCTGGGTGGCTCAGTCGGTTAAGCGACTGCCTTCAGCTCAGGTCATGACCCTGGAGTCCGGGGACTGAGTCCCACATCAGGCTTCCAGCTCTGCAGGGAGTCTGCTGTTCTCTCTGACCTTCTACCCTCTCTTGCTCTCTCTTTCTCTCTCAAATACATAAATAAAATTAAAAAAAAAAAAGTCTGACCTCCAAAATACAACCTTCATGGAGACTTATCAATATTCTTAGTACTGTTGGTGACTAAAGTTGCCTATCGGCCTCACAACGATTGACGATATCCCACACTCCGTCAGCGTTGGGGCTGGCCTTACTCCAGTCACGACTAACCAGAATTTGCCATTGGAAGCTCAGTCTGCTCCTCTCACGCTTCCTTCCTCGTTGTACCAGCTGCACTCCTTCCTTCGACCCCATCAGGTGAAATACGGAGTTTAGGAACATTTAAAAGTTCACGGTTTGAAACCAAAGAATAGACTCTAATGGTAAAATCCATTGAAGAAGTATTTTTGGAGGAATGTTTCTGACTTCATATTCTGTAGCCACTTTTCTGTCTGTAAATGCAATCTGGAAACTAGTTTGGAGGTAAACTAAAAGAAATGACCGTCTCTGGGAAATATTTGAAATAATTTATGCAATGTCTTTTTGGTAAGGATTAAAATGAGATAGTATTATAAAGAGCCATAGTTAGAAACTCAAAGAACAACTGTTTTCTTTTTCCTTTTGAGCACTTGTGTGTGTGTCTGTGTGAAATTAAAATGCATTCCTTTTGGTTCAAGCACAATCCTGGGAGTTAAATATATTAGGTGATTCACTTGGATTTAGTTTTATCCATATCCTTTTAAAATTCTTACTAAGAATAGACTAAAGATAATAACTGGATTGAATTAATCCGAGTGAACTTCTCTCACAGAAGGGCGATCAGATTTATCAAAACACTGTTTTGAAAGTGGTACTTTAATTAGCACCACTACCCTTCTGTTGGGATATTTTTTAATATAACTCCATTAGAACTCACTTGAAAAATGCTGGGAAAGACTCAACCCTCAGCAGGAGAAGCTGCAATGTTGAAAGGGCCTGTCATTTGAAATAGGCTTTGATGGGTCAAATATTTTCCAATTGCACCACATTTTTGGACCACTGTACTTACAGCCTGTTCATGTTCACTTGTCCACATGACAGCCAAAGTAGAGATGGAGGAAATATTTTAGAATAGTGAAACTATATCATGGGACATTCCTGGAAATAGTTAAATACAATAAAAGGGTGTCCTAGTCTAATACAACCCTTTCTTGGTATTCTAATGTCCCTGGTAAAGAAGAACTTGGTGCTGTCATGTCCAGAGTCAAAGTGATCTCCAGAATACCACACAGTTGTCTGCCCCAAATGCCATTCGGACAGACGTCATGAAACCAGGCTTATGGCTTATGGAATCCTGGAACGGTGCCCTTTCTTTCTTTAGCTTTGAAACCACTCCTCTGCTTGGTCTAGATGTTCTCAGCCTCTTCTGAGATGGGTCAGAGAGCCACCAGGGACATTAAGAGTGTTTCCTCCTGGGCCCTTAGCCATCACCACCTTGTATCCTGTGGAGCATGGATCAAGCAACATAATTTGGAAGGTGGAAGTAGTCAGAGGGCTGAACCAGAAGGTGCACAGAACTGTGGCCAGGCCTGTGGCCAAAAATCTCCAGGACTCGGGTGGTGAGGTGACACACTTGCCTGGGAGTGTACATTCCAGTGGTTGCTGATGTCATCCACAGACGAAACTAACATTTTCAGATAATGACAGAATATTCTGGGGAAATTTTTTGCACCATTAAAAATCCAAATATATGTGTGTGTGTGTGTGTGTGTGTGTGTGTGTGTGTGTGTGTAATCATCACCCCAGAGAGAAGAGCTGACCAGATTTTTTTTTAAAGATTCTTAAAAGAAGGCCTCACAGTTTCCTTTTTAGGGTCACTAAGAGCATGATGTTAATTTAATAACCATTTCATTAAGTCTCATAAAAGTTTCCATTCTAAGCTTCTAAAAGTAACTCTTTTCATAACTTCTTTGATTTGCAAAACAGGGAAAAATGTCCAACTACATCAGGTCATTTGGAGTTTAACAAAAAGCCATAGGCAAGTCATGGAAACAAAATGTGTACGGCCTTGGCCAAGAACTGGGTGGTTCACTGGAGTTCTCCACTTGCTGTCTGAAGAGACTGACTCCTAGAGCCATTTATTATAAGATTAATTTCATGTTGAAAGCACCCCTTGCACAGATTCTCTAATTAAAGCATATTATGGGGGCACCTGGGTGGCTCAGTGGATTAAATCCTCTGCCTTTGTCTCAGGTCATGATCCCAGGGTCCTGGGATCGAGTCCCGCATCAGGCTCTCTGCTCCGTGGGGAGCCTGCTTCCCCCTCTCTCTCTCTGCCTGCCTCTCTCTGCCTACTTGTGATCTCTGTCAAATAAACAAATAAAATATTTAAAAAAAATAAAGCATATTATGGACATTTGCATAGATCTTGAAATAGTATGCAAAGAAAACAATTTTTAATAAATCTTTGTCAAAGTCCTTGGAAGAGAGTAAATCAGGGTGAATTTTTAAATCTTTGGTTAATTATTTTTCACCTGATGATCATCAAACATTAGTTATTCCCAGTTTCTGCAGGGCGTGTTGTGAAGGCAGTTCTGACAGAGTCTTTTCTCTTTCCTGTGCACCCATGTGCTCTACCCAGCATTTGAGGTAAGAGCACTGAGCTCCCTGCACCGCCCAGGGCTGTGATGGCTTCATGAGAATCTGAGCCAAAGTAGCGAGAACACACAGCTTTTCAAGAAATGCAACGTTTTCAAGCTGTCCACAGAGAAGCAACCCAATACCACACTGGGGGTGAAACCTGAGAGCATAGTCTCCTGCTTGGCTTCAAGATCGGCCTCAAAAAGGAAACAACTTCCCAATCCAGATAAAAACCAGAATTCCCAAGGCTGACCTCCCGATCATTCCAGGACAAAGGAATCCCCCAGGACAGGATCGGTTACCTGTACTTGCAGCTGTAGATGTTCACCTGGCCTACCAGGACAGACCCCGAGCTCTCCATGTGCACATCAACAACGGACAACTGGTCTACTTCCGTGGAATACTGGAGCATGACCACGTAGTTGCCGACCTGTGGGACCCGCAGCCGCAGGTGCAGCTCCACCTGTCAGAGAGCCCGAGCACGTGGATGTGAAATGCACTGGACGCGTTTACATAGCAACAGTGAAACCAGGGCTGAGCAGACACCTGGAAGTAGTGTCATAGGTCATCATAGTAAGAAACATGGTCCTCTAGGTAGGAATGCCAGATAAAATACAGGATGTGCCGCTAAATTTGAAATGCAGATACACAATGCACATAACTATTGTTTGCACGTTAAATTGGATGGGGCATTTGTATCTTTATTTTCTAAATCTGGCAACCCTACTTATAGGGGCTTCTACTCTTTCACCTATATATTTGCCTTGTTTCTCAAGGCAAAAGACACTCTAAAACTTGAGGTAAAAAGGTATCTCCAGCAGATGATAAAAGGAATGGAAGTCTGCCTTGAGGCTCTTTTGCTGTTCTTCAATTTAAAAAATGAACTTAAAACTTCGTGGTTGCAGATAATGAGAAGTGATACATGTACCCCACTTCTGGGACGATAGCTAACAATAGTTTGGTTTTCATACTTCCAAACCACTGTCCATGTCTGAAAATGCACACGCATGTACTTTTTTTTTTTTTAAAGAAATACTGCTCATAGTAGGCAATCACGGATGCTTTCGTACATCACAGCAGAGCCGAGTAGCTCTGACAGAGTCCATATGACCCTCAAAGCCAAAAATATTTACTATCTGGCCTTTCACCCAAAAATTAAAAAAATGCCCATGCCTTGTTAGGAGCTTAGAGTCTGGAATCATACTGCCTCCAGCTGCGTGACTGTGAACAAGTTGCTTAATGTCTATATGCCTCAGTATTCTCCAGTGTACAAATGAAGATAACAATAGTATCCACCTTTTAAGATTATCATGAGGATTAAATGAAGTAATATGGGAAGAACTCTCAGAAATGTATGTGGCATGTCACAAATACTAAATAAACATTGATGATTATAATTGTAATTACTGCCTTTTGCCATGACTTGCTTTTTTTACTCAATAGTATTTTCTTGGTTTATAGCAGGTACATGCAGATAAACTTCATTTTCTTAACGGCTTTCTACCATTCCATATAGTATGATCATAAAGTGATTTATTTAACTAATCCCCAATTGATGGACACTTAGGTTGCCTCTAATTTATATATTAGAGAGATATATAATATATATTATTATAAAATATAAATTATTTAATATAAATTTAATAAATTATAAATATAATAAATTATATAATTTATAATGATGTATTACTATAATATATAAATATATAATATATAAATTACATAATTTATATATAATAAATATGTGTTATAAATTATATAACTTATATGCAATATATAATTTATATGTGTATATATATTATAAATTATATAATTTATATAGATGTATCTATGTATATATCATCATATAACTTTATATGTTACATGGGAAAAAAAATATATATGCATATCCTTAGGCTAGTATTTCTGTAAGATTCCTAGGAGTAGAATTGCTGAGTCAAAGGATAGGTTCATATTGAATGTCTGAGCCAATATTAGAACTACATTCTATACAGTTTAACTCTCTTCAGTCTGTAAGCTCAGGCCCAGCCAAGCTTTACCACACTTAATTAAAATCCTCCTGCCTCTTGCCTTCAGGAAATTCACATTTACTGTTCTCTCTGCACAGCCCTGAGCCACACAACTAATATTTTCCACAGTGATTTTTATATCACTTATATAATAGAAAGATTTCCCTCAGGGTGAAAAAAAAGTGGATTATCCACACCACTTTTCCACTCTGTTACAGAGTGAAATATGGGTCCATGTTCAGAGGTTATTACCAGCGTTTTTCCCCTGGGCATCTCCAGACAAGAGTTTGTCTGTTTTCACCCACTATAAAGCACACACAGGCCAATGATATATTCACTTTTCTCCCAGAAGTTATTATTGGCTTCCAGTTTTATCACAGCACTCTATTATAAATTTCTATTGTTCTTTCCACTCTAAGTCCTATAGATTGATTTTTTGGGAGACTTGTAGGAAGGCTTTTGAATACATCTGTTGGTAAAAGTAGGCTTTGAGAAACTCAGATAAAAGACAAATGATGGCAAATGGAAATTTTACTAGTTGCTGTTTGTTATCAGAAATAACTAATATTATAACTAATAATAATAATATTCCTAGTAAAAGGGAACTTCAGTGTCAAGCTGGAAGGTTCCTTTTGGTTTTATGGCATAGAACTGCCCTTACCTAGTTATGAGTGTTGCAAGATAAAGACATAAAAGGTGGTCATATCAAATCTGATGCTTACACAAAGCTAAGAGGGATAATTAACACATCTGATGTCAAAATGAGTCTTCAAAATGATTTGGTCAACCTCTTATTAAACACCTACTGTATGCCAGCTCCCCTGATGGGCTTATATGATGGGAAACAAGACAATCCTCAGACAGACTTCAATCAAATACTTAGATTATTAGATCAACACAGTATGAAATTACATGTATGACAAATGTTCTAACGAGATGGGCAGGGGGCTGCCTGAGAAGGCCGGGAAGACTAGGGAAGAGGGGAGACTTCCTGAAGAAACATCTTAGCTGAGTGCTGGAGGATGAGGAACAGGCCCCAAGGGGAGGAGCATTCAGGCAGAGGCAACAAGCTGCAGCAGGAGGCTACCCTGTCATGTACCCACTGTAGGGTAGCAGATATGCAGTCCAAGAGACTGAAGGCAGGCCACCGTGGCCGGGAACAGAGAACAAGAAGAGCTATGATAAAATTGGGAGGTAAGAGGGGTAACCTTAGAGATCGTTAAAATCTTTTGTCTCTATCCTAAAATCAATAGGATGTTATTGAAATTTCCCAGTTGTGTATGGATGAGGATGGGGTGAGAGGGTCAGGGATGATTGGATATTTCTATCAACATGAGTATGCTGACAATTGTATGAAGTCAATATTGGGAGATGCAACAGCAAGAGCTGGTGCGAGTGAGCTAATTAGGTTACCTTATGAAAGATATCATATACGGGGCAAGAAGGATACATGGAGAGGAGTAGAAATAAGAAAAGGTTGGGATGGACACTCAGAGATGGGTTGTCTTTGGTGAGGGGGAGAACAGAGGAAGTCATGGTTGACCCTAAGGATTCTGATTTATACAATTAGATGGATAGTGGTACCATTTACTTAGGTAAGGACACTAAATGTAATTTGAGATCCCTCTGAGACACCTAAGAGGTAACATCAGGAAGTTGGCTATGCTATTCTGCACCTAAAAGGACAAGTATGACTAGACATACCAATTAGGTAGTTATCTGTGTAGAGTTGGTATCTATCACAACAGGCACAGCAGAGGCTGCTTAGGGAGAGAATATAAAGTAAAAAGACAAAGGCCAAGACTAAGCCTGAACAAATTCTAATACCCAATGGCTAGACAGAGGTTAATCCTGTAAATGATATTCTGAGGAAGCAGCCAGAAAGGTAGGAAGAGATCTAGACCACTCCTAAATTACGGAAAACAAGGTGCGAGAGTATTTTAAGATGTGAGGGGTATTCGACAAGTACTGAAAGCTTTTGAGAAGTTAAATAAGTGAATAGGCGAGGAATGAAAACTATCTGTTGGACTTAGTGAAAACATAATTGGAAACCCTGGGAAAGAAAGAAAATATAGGAAGGAAGGAAGGAAGGAAGGAAGGAAGCAAGCCAGACTGGTGTGGGTTGAGATATGAATGGAAGTGAAAGAATTAGAAACAGCGTGGAATTGTCTAATTCACTGGAGAAGTTTGGTTGTGAAGGAGGGAAGCATTATGGCTGAGGGACTGTGGGAAGAGAAAGGAGGGTTTTAATAAAAAGGAAGATAGAATTTAGCATCTTTAAAAGGTGACAGCGACTTCCAGTTCAGATGGCATAGTGAATTCACATTTTCTGCACCCCTTCTGCTCCAAGAGACAGCAACTATGGATAAAATGTTTTGAAAGGAAAACAAAAGATATGTTTGAGATTAAAAGTGATGGAATATAAGTAAAAGAAAAACTCAAAATGCACTAGGGCTGAAGCCCAGAGCCTGTTGTCCTCCAGGTCTGGAAGCATGCTGTTTTGGTCAGCAGTTCAGCTCATGCAGAGTAAAGAAAACAAAAGATGCCTCATGAGACAGTGGTTAGATTCAGGCTCATTTTCTGAAGGCAAAGGTAAGGGTTCCCTCAAATCATGAAAAGCTGAAAAAGTTGCTGACAATCTGCCACTTAGATCTCAGCATTATAAGAAGCTGTTGAATTTGGGGATCAAATATCAAAGATGGAGCCTCATGACCAAGAACTGATTTAAGCCACCCACTGACTCAGTGTCTGAATCTGTGCTCACACTAGAATCACAGCAATAGAAGTGGCACATTGTAATGCTTGCCTCTGAGCTAAGGGTCCAGCAGACTGGTAAGACATTGCAAAACTATGAAGCTGAGACAGATATAAAGGGAGATGATAAAAACCTTCCATTCAAAATAAGCCAATAAGCCTGCAAACAAGATAAGCTTCCAAAACACAAAAAGAAATCTAATGTCAGAAATAGGCAATGATATCATCAATCAGAAGATGAGTTTACTTCAGATGCAATGAATTTTATAGGACAGTCTGATGAAGACTTTAAAATGAATATACTGGTCCTTAATCTGAAATCTTCAAACTTGAAAAAGGAAATTATTTTGGATTTCGTTTGGTGGCAAAAGCTAATCTCACCTAACCAATCAACACTTCTTGGCAAAATATGACTTGAACTAAGTCCATGTATATGGTCTTCATGTATTTCTCTTGGAGTGCTTATTCACGCTTTTCACTGGAGAAAAATCAACATATTTGGTTACAGGGTGTTGGCCAGGACCCTCCTGGAGATTGCATGCGTGCGCATGTGTGTATGTGTAGAGAATCTTAAAAATTCTTAATTCTGAAACATACCTGCCTCCAAAGGCATTAAGATACTAAAAAAAATAAATGAAAGAGCAATCTCTTTAAAAAGTAAACAAAGTTGGGGCACCTGGATGGCTCAGTGGGTTAAAGT